AACTAAATCTAATAAAAACTAATTCTTTATAAATATCCGTGTCTGCCGCTGTGTTGAAGCTTCTCTGTCAAAACAGTAATATAATTAAAATTGTAAATACGGGGTGAAAAAAAGAGCTTGAAGCTGGTTTCGGTCGCTTCCGTGCTTTTCTTCCTGCCAGCTCCAACTCTGTTGTTTTTCTGAGCTACAGCGAGCAAAACAAAGCAGTCAGCTGATCTCTGACGTCACAGCGTCGTAAGCCAATCACATCCGAGTAAATACAAAGTTCAACTTCACAGTGAAATGTTGATTTTAAAGATGTTTGTTTCCTCCACAATGGTCAAACAAGACATCAGTAAAAGATTATTTACTTTCACATGAAACAACAAGATGTTTCACACACATAAGTACTGATATACACACGCATAAGTACTGATATACACAAATAAGTACTGATATACACACACATAAGTACTGATATACACACACAAAAGTACTGATATACACACATAACTACTGATACACACACATAAGTACTGATATACACACATAAGTACTGATATACACACATAAGTACTGATATATACACACATAAGTACTGATATACACACATAAGTACTGATATACACACATAAGTACTGATATACACACATAAGTACTGACTGTCACTGCAGCCAAAAACACAGTAAAACCTCTGAGTTCTCCATGTTAAAGAAGAGTAGAAATAATACATTTACCCTGAAAATGTCTGTTTATTTCAAGTTGTTCTGTTTTATCAGTGCCTGGGAACCAGAGCAGCAGAAATATTACTTGTCAAAGGATTAGACCTGGACCACAATGGAAATAAGCTTTATGATTTATTGTGTTATCCATTTATATTAATGTTACTGTATAATATATGCAGTGCAATTTATATGATAAATAAAATGATGATGATGATGATGATGATGATGATGATGATGATGATGATGATGATGATGATAATAGAGAATTTAATGCCTAAACTCTACAGATAATTGTTTAAATTTGTAGATCTTGAGGTGAGGTCCATAAACCTATGAACTGCAGTCAGCATAATACAAAAT